TCTATCTATCTATCTATCTATCTATCTATCTATCTATCTATCTATCTGCATGCCCACAATCCTGAAGGAGCAGGGCCGGGTCTAAAGGGCCCAGAGGGGGCCTCAATCCCCTCCTCCCAAAATAAATGTGGTGCCCCCTCAAATTTAACCCCCCAAAACTGGATAACTGCCATGTTACCTGTGAGGCTCCATATAAATCCAATTTACTTTCCACAAACTGATCATTCTGGTGTTAATGAGGTGATATTTTACACAACATTTTCTACATGAAATTAGTTATAAATAATAATTGTTGAGTGCAGACTTTAGAAGGATAAGGATGTAAAAAACTCTTGGACATCAACACGTGCCGCTGGATTCCCTCAGGCCAGTCTGTGTTTTCTCTAAAAGTGAATGATGAATGATAGATTTAAAAAAAAAAAAAGAAACATCGCCCTCTGGAGGACAGATAGAGTTGCAGTTTCCACCAACGGCCAGAGGGGGACAGCAAATCCCAGATCCAGTGTCTGAACCGTGTCCTCAAAGTTTTAGGACTAATTACCTTTTTATCAGGATGCTTATCCAACTTTTGTATTTAGAAAACATAAAAACTCAAATTTTATGCATGAATAAGCATTTTAGGGGGTGAAATCTGACTGATTGATTTTAAATAACAGAAGAAAACCTGCGTTCAGCTGCGTTACAGATTCATCCTGATTGAGAACCTGAAATGGTTGTAAACTGAGTAGGTCATTTCTAGCCTTTGGAGCTGAACTTTGAACCTTTTACCTTCTTCCAGCTGAGCCTTTCTGTGCAGGAGTGGATGAAAAGAAAGCAGGAAAAACTCAACGAACATCCAAATTCAGTCCCTTAGCCACTTAATTCGGCCTGTTTGACTTCATTAGCATATTAATTCATATGAAAATGAAACACTAAAGATTATTTTTCCTGGATTTCCTACTAAAGGGCCGTTTTCCTGCAGATTTCAGACGTTTCCCTGCTCAGTTTCCCCGGTTCAGACTGAGCAAATCTCTGCTGAAGCCTTAAAGTGACACTGTGTAGTGTTTTAAGTATTTCATTATCTAAAATCACCTTCTTCATTTCTAAATGTGTCCTCATTCGGTGAAAAATGACCTCTGCAATGATCTGACTTCTCCACATAAGGAAGAATTTCCTAACTGTATATAAGTTGGAAGTCCACAGAGGTTTCCATGGCGATGGGACATTTTGAAAATCTATAATGGCACAGAGGGACATAAAGCACTAGTCTGCCTGCCTAGTTAATCCACAACGCCTTTTCCTTTTCACGTGACTGAAACCAGCTGTAATAAGTGAGAGGCGCTTGCCTGTCCCATCTATAATTGCTGTATCACTGCTAATTAGCATAGTTCATGCTAATATATCACTATAAATTAGCATAGTTCATGCTAATGTATCTAAACTAATTAGCAAAGTTAATACTTATATATTACTACTAATTAGCATAGTTCATGCTGATATATCACTACTAATTAGCACAGTTCATGTTAATATATCACTACTTATTTGCATAGTTAATGCTAATATATCACTACTAATTAGCATAGTACATGCTAATATATCAAAACTAATTAGCATAGTTTGTGTTAATATATCACTACTAATTAGCATAGTTCATGCTAACATATCATTACTAATGAGCACAGGTCAAGCTAATATATCACTACTAATTAACATAGTTCATGCTTTCCAGTACCATAACATACTGTAACATTCGTTTGTTCGTGTTGTGTCAAGTTGTTAGCTAACGCTAGCTACGACTTAGGCTAGTAAAGGCAAGCTACAAACACAAAAACAAGCTAACATGGCAACCTAATTCGCTATCTTGTTGGAGTAATTACATGCTCACACTAATGATAAAATGAAGTGTGTCAATTCTTTTAAATTACAAACCTCATCACCATAGAAAACTCCATGATGCGGAAGTCATGTTGTCATTACTTCTTGATTCCTGACGGCTACCGTAGCTGCAATACCCATTTGGAAACGGAGGCGCTTGAAAGCAGATTTGTTAGGAGTTCACGATTTCACCGTTAGCTGGAAAAAATTCCTTTTAGCTTTAAAGTGATCAAACGGTGTGTGTGCAGGTCTATATCAGCTGCTCGGTCATCCTGTGTGAGAGCGGCGTCCCCGGAACCCGCTGCTCCCAGGGCTGCCTGGGATCCCCCCCCCATCGCCAAAGGAGGGAGGCTGCCGCTCAGACGGGCCGGCACTCCATTTCCCAGGGGCCTTTGCACCTGGCTGCTGAGGCCCCCGGCAGCAGATGTGAGTAGGAGGCTGTTTGAGCTGCTTTTAGCCGAGGCAGGTTTGTTTTACAGCGCCATTCAGGGATCTTTACAAAGAACTTAAAGGTAGGAAATAAATTAAACAGATTCAAAGGGAAGCGAGCTGATAAAATCCATTCTAATTTAAAGCCAGAGGTCCCTCTTTCTGAGGCTCACAGGGAGTCTTTCCATCATTTTAGTGTAAAATCAGCTCCTGTTTCCAAAGGATTCTTCATCAAACTGAGCAGTAAGACACTTTAAGCCTCATTTTGTCCTCTCAGGTTAAACTGAGTCTGTTTTTGCTCTGAAATCAACCTTTTTCCAGCTCCTGAACACATGTTTCCACCTCTGTCTGTAACATCGGCTGGAACAGAACTCATTTAGTGGAAATCAAAGCTGGTTCTGGAGGCAGAAAGCAGAAAGTGAGAGAAGGTTCCTCTCTGGTTCTGATCGGAGGCTCACAGCTGGATGGAAAACCTGCTGCTGTCAAACATTTCAGGGTTTTTGAATGGCAACAAACAGTCCAGTTGTTGTCCTCCAGCTCAGAGTGGCTGTTTTCTAAAGCAGGAAGTCTAAAATGAGCCATAGCTCTGAGTTCCAGCATTTATTTGACTGGTTTATTATTATTATTACAGTCAGCAGCTGACTCAGGTTCTGACTCCCTTCTCTCCCCTCTCAGCCTCCGGCCCCGGCTGGAATCTGGGCCTGAACTCGGTCTTCATCGTCGGCTGCCTGCTGGTTTGTGGAGTGGTGGTCTATCGATCCAGAGGGACCAACGTTAAGTACCAGCCGCTGCCGACCTCCGACCACTGAGCCGCCGGCAGCCCCACAGGAGGAGGGCTCATGTGGGCTTACAGTCTGTAGGTGACGGAAACCTGATCCACATGTTTCTTTATCCTGCTCATCTTTGGGTTCCTAAACCTGTTTTAAGTTAACTGGATGATTAAGTTAACAATGATCTGTTTTCCTTTAGCATCATTTTTATAAAGATACGTTTTAATAAACCGAGTTGTTTATGATGGGTATAAGAAAACATTCTTTAGAAATTTTAATGTTTTTTAATAAAAAAGCAACATGTACTTTTATTTCATTGTGATTTATCAGAAAAATCCACCTGCAGATGACAGACTCATAGAATCCTTTTAATAAACGACATTTACTCTGAGAAGGGACCAATATCCAGTTACTGAGATGAGACTGGATGCACACAAATGCAGTATTTCTGAACATATGCAGTCTTTTGGATGTATTTCAATCGATTTAAATGTGTTAGAAGACATTGAAAAGAAGCTGTCCAGGATTTTATTTGACTTATTGAGCCTGAAAAAGGCCAATCAGGTGCTTGAGTTTCTGCTTCTCAGTGAAGTGTGTTTACAGTCTTTTGGTGATGGAAACCTGATTGGTTAAGAACGACATTAAACATCTGGAATTGCATTTATAGAATCAAACAACTTGTTTCTTTATCCTGCTCATCTTTGGGTTCCTAAACTGGATGATGAATCTAACAATGAGCTGTTTAAAAACAGCATTATTATATAAAGATAAGTTTTAATGAACCGGGTTGTTTATTTTCTGTGTTTTGATGGGAATAAGAAACATTCTGTATACAATTAAACGTTTGTTTTAAATAAAAGTATGAAGAATGTACCTTTATTTCATTGTCAATTCAGAGGCAGAAATCCCGGCTGCTGCCTTCCAGGCTGACCGGGGCCGGATGGGTCAGCGTCCACAAACACACAAAATGACCACAACCGGTCACAAAATGATCTGAAATTAAGCTAATCTGACACAAAACTACCAGAAAACGACACAATACGGATACAAAACGACATATAACCACCACACAGACCATGAAGAGACAGTAAGAGAGACCTCCTGCAAATGAGCCAAAGAAACCCCCCAAAAGCAGATTCCCTTCAATGAGACGCCTCCTTTTCTTCTTCTTTTCATCCTAAACAGAGTTAGTGGGTGTTATTAAAGGGGTTATCATGGAAACAGTTCCATTGTATGAGGTGGAGTTCTAACCCTGGTCCCCATGTCTTTCTCGTGCCCCCCTCAGGTGTACATCACCTGCTCGGTCATCCTGTGTGACCCTGAGAGCCCCTTCTCCAGGTGTGCCCAGGGCTGCCTGAAAGACCCGTCCTGCAGACGCAGACGGGAGCTGAGCCTGGAAACCGGCGGGCACTCCATTACCCAGGGTCCCCTGCAGTTTGTGGGGCTGGATGCTCCCAGAGTAGCCCAGGAGGAGCAGCAGGAGGAGCAGAGGGTTGCTGTGGGGCAGAAGGAGGAAGAGGAGGAGGAGAGGGTCCCTCCCAATGCAGGTGAGAGCATCAGAGCTCATCTTCCCTGTAAGGGACTAAAGGCGCTCTGAAAATTTGATTGACTTTGATTTAATGACCTCAAAACGGTAAACAAAGGGTCATACGTCATTACAAAACAACCCATCCCCCTTCAGTCTTTGGAATAATGGTATGTTCCAAGTCTTTGGTTTTTGTTCAGCTGGTTTTTGCTGGGGGCCAGCGCCTTCCTGGTCTCCTTGGTCCTGCTGGCCGTGGTCGTCCACCGCTACAGCCGGAGGAGGAAAGCGGAGGACCGCAACGTCCTCATAGAGCCAGACTCCGTGAGCTAAAGTCAGCCAGCCCTCCTCCTTCTGTGAAAGCTGAATGTTGTAGCTCTTTAAGGCAAAGCGCACATCTTCCCGTGCTTATTTATCAAGGTACGTTTTTTTTAGAAAAGGTCCAACTTAAATATCTCTGTCCTAAAATGGTTGAAACTTTATAAAACCTTATGAAATAGTCAACAGATTCTGACTAAACTGCTCCGAGAGAAGTCAGATTGAGTCAAATTAAGGTAAACAATTCGGTCTGTTTGAACCCTGATTAGAAATACTGAGAGTGAAATTGAAAATTGAGTTCAGAGGGAGTTGTAAAACAGGTCTGAGAGCAGCAGCATCATCTCATCGTCTGACCAAACAGGGACTGGCTCTGTAAATATTAAGCCCGTTGATAGTTTATTAGTTCTGCTCTGTGAAGCAGAAGTCCCCCAAAAAGAGTTTAAAATCCCAAAAACCCAAAGGAGTTGTCCTAAGGACATTTTAAGTCTGAAATGAGGACTTAAAAGCGAGGTGGGGATCCCTGTTAGCTGGATGTTGGCTGATGATCCTCCCTGTCAGTGGAGCGAAGGGAAAATTATTTATTTATGATCCTACATGAGCCCCTGAAGAAGCATTAAAACACAAAAACTTAGGAAGAACGAAAGCATTCGGAGCAAAACGGGTGCAGAACACGACTCGTTTCAGGCTAACAAAGGCAGTGGAAAACATCAAAGGCCTTTAGATCACAGACAACCGGCGCAAAGCCAAAGAACAGAGCTGACTTTTTCTATTCAGGCCTGAGAACTGGAAGGTTGTTCTGTTCTGCCTAAGCTCACAAAGGCCCTCGGCATTTAGCATAACTTTAAGCTGAGTCGAACGCAGGTGCAGAGCTCAGAACTCGTTTTCCGGCGTTACGAAAGTGGCCGCTTGTTGTTTTAGGACCTGGTTGTGACGCCGAGCCCGTCAGTCAAAACTGTTGCTGAGAAAAGGCCTCGAAGGGACATCTCGTCCCAAGCCGCGCAAAACACAGCTCAGCCCAAAGACGACCAGCGAAAACGCTTTTCATAACGCTGAGGCTGCTGGGGCTGAAGGAAATGAGGATAAACAAGAATAAATTAGGATAAATTAGGATAAATTAGACAGTATGAGGCTTAATGAAGATAAATTGGACCAAATGAGCATAAATGAGGATAAACAAGGATAAATCAGAATAAATTAGGTAAAGTGAGGATAAATTTGACTAAATGAGGCAAAATTAGAATAAATTGGAATACATAAGGCAATGTCTGGCTCAATGATGATAATTTAGATTAAATGAGGCAAAATGAGGTTACACTTGAACAAATGAGGCAAAATTAGGCTAAATCAGACCAAATGAGGCAAATTGAGGCTAAATTAGGGGGAATTAGACTAAATGAGAATAAATTAGACTAAATGGGGCGAAATGAGGATAGATTAGACTAAATGAGTATAAATGAAAATGAATTAGGATACATGAGAAGAAATTAGGGTACATGGGGCAAAATGATGCTAATGAGGATAAATTAGGCTAAATTATAAACGCTGGCCTCTCTCGCTGTGAATTTTCTGCTCCTGTGGGGGACAAAGCTGAAGTTCAAAGCTCACTCAGCCTGTTTTACATTCCTGACTCTGCTGAAGTTCAGAACATGATGAAAACAACATTCCCGTCAACCGGTTTCACCAGATTCTGTTTGTGTGACTGTCATTGTTGCTTTGCCCTCATTCAAACATAATTTCTTCTCTTGCTGTTAATTATCTCGAGGTGTTGAAGGTTTTAAGAGCTCTGACAAACACTGTGACATATAAACACTGTTGGTTTTGGCTCTTGCATATATTCTTTATTTTTGGTGTACAAAGCACATATAGCAAGGACTTGGACAAAGAGAAACTCTATGTTTTCATTATAATATGTCTTTAATATTAATATGTCTATTTAAATTTACGTTCTGCATAATAAAACTTTCTAAGCTTTTGGGTTTTGTTTCATTTGATTAATTTCAGATCTTGTTCAGAGAAGTCGAACGCCAGCTCTGATAGGGCAGATGATTTTCTCTGATAACTTTAACAATTCACTAAACTGGAAGGGAAAGTCAACCTACAAACACCTATTTTATTCAGGATTTCTCTTCTTTTTGGAAAGCTAAAAGTAAGCCTCTCAACCAGTCCTGCAGGGTTTAGCTTCCCTGCCTCAAGCTGCTGGAATGGGCTAAAAGCATCTGTTTCAGGGCTCTGCACACTCTGCTGTGCATCAGAATTTTAAAAGGTTTCTGAAACAAAAAAAAATGCTTTTTCGTTTTATCTGACAAAAGTCTCTGTATATTAAACCAGGAAAACATTTGGATTCCCTTCGTTCCCTCCACTGATGAGCACTGCTGTGGAAATTCTACTTTTAATCCAATAAAATCAAATATACTTTATTAAGTCCGTCGGAGGCAGTAAGAAATGGAAATGTTTTAAAAAAGGAAACTTAATGAAGAGAGATCGATCTTACAAGTTGTTCTGAAGCAAAAATAAAATCATGTGTAACGTTCCTGTTACTGGAGCTGACTCCACCCCCCGTTCTGCACTCCTGCTCAGTGTCCACACCCCGCAATCAGCTCTCATTGTTTCCACCTGTCTCCACCTGCACTTGACCTCCGTTCCAGCCAGTCTCCAGTGCCAGAACCTCTCGAGCCAAGTGTTAAGAACTTACAGCAATTCCCGTATCCTGTCTGCCCGATTATCCGACCTGCCTTCTGTCTGCCTGATTCCGAACCTGCCTGACCCACGCCTGACTCGTCTGCCTGTTTCCGAACCTGCCTGAGCCCCGTCTGATTCTTCTGCCCGATCCTGACTGCCTCCCCGTGTTCCGACCTCGCCTGCCCGTGACTCCGAGTTCCCGCCTGCTCCCTTGGACTGCTTCCCTGGCTCTGACCCCTGGACCGGCCCCGACCGCCTTTTTGGATTATCCCTGTGTTCCTCGCTGGATTACTGGACCTCCTCTTGCCGAACCTGGATTCTCCTGACCACGCCCCCGGATTGCCCCTCGTTTCTCCTCAATAAACTCTGCTTAACTGACTGTCCGTCTCTGGGTGTTTTGGGGTCCTTATTCAGATCGTAACATCATGATACATTTTATACCCTCTCTGAGCAGAAAGCAGGCAGATATAACACCTAATCAGGGATGGCCTGTCTCCCATTATCTAACAAAATCTGCCGAGCTGTCAAAATAATGATAAGGAAAGTATTAGAGGACTTACTAAAAGACTGAAGGAGAAAAGATTCCCATTGAGACAAGATTAGAACGTAAAATTAGATTCCACATACATTGCTTTCCATCACAAATTCCCACTTCTGATTATAATGATGCAAATCATGTTAATCCCTGCTAAATAAATCCCTATCATTACATCACAATGCTGCACCAAATCTACCAAAAAGCCCAAACATGCAATGGATGATATACTGAAACAGTAATAACTTTATCAATAGCATCAACCCTTACCTGTAGCAGGAAACTGTTCACGTGAATGATAAATAAATGAATACATCGTGTGCTGGTTCAGTTTTCACTCATTTCTCCCTCAGAGGTATTTCAGAGCTCATTGTTTGATTTTCTTTACACAGATTCTACTCTGGGCTACTTCCAGATGGGATGAGGGTTTAAAGCAGGGTTCGAAAGCTTTATAACAGGGTTCAAAATGTTCTAAAGGTTTAAAACAGTGTTCAAAACAGGGTTCAAATGGTTTAAAACAGGGTTCAAAACGGGAGGATCGGAGGAAATTCAGAGTTTCAGGACCCGGGAGCAGCCTCAGCTGTGACCTCTGACCCCTCTGATGCAGGACTGTCAGACGAGACACCAAACAACCACAAAGAGACACTAAACGACCACAAAGAGACGCAAAACAACCACAAAGAGACACTAAACGACCACAAACAGACACAAAATTACCCCAAAGAGATTACAAACGACCACAGAGACACATAACAACCGCAAAGAGACACAAAACGACCACAAGGAAACAACAAACAACCACAAAGACACACCAAACAACCACAAAGAGACACCAAACTACTATAAAAAGACAAAAAACAACCACAAAGACATATAAAACAATCACAAAGAGACACAACACGACCACAAATGGACACAAAACAACCACAAAGAGACACAAAACAACTACAAAGAGACACAAAACAACCACAAAGAGACACCAAACTACTATAAAGAGACACAAAACGACCACAAAGAGACACCAAACTACCATAAAGAGACAAAAAACAACCACAAAGAGACAACAAACGACCACAAAAAGACACAAAACAAGCACAGACAACAAACGACCACAAAGAGACACCAAACTACCACAAAGAGACACCAAACTACTATAAAGAGACAAGAAAACAACCACATAGAAACACTATAAAGAGACAAAACGACCAGAAGCCTTTAAGAACACCTGCTGTCAGGTGCTAGCAGAAACTGGTACTAGGATTCCTTAAATCAGTTCTGGTTGAGCTGGTTCATTGAAATCTACGCTGTTACCAGTAAATGAGGTCAGAGAAGTTGGAATATCACCTTCCCTTCCGTGTGGCGCAGTATTTAAGGCACCAGGCGGCGCTGAGGACCAGGACTCTTCAGAATGGCGTCTTCCATCCACCTGCTGTTGCTGCTGCTGCTCGTGGCCTCATCCGAAGCTCAATCCTACAAGCATGTGGCGGCTTCACTGGCCTTCAGACCCAAAGGAAAAAGCCCCGACGGGAAATACCAGGTATCAAACAGACTCTCTGGGAAAGGAAAAGCCTTCTAACTGACCCTTTAGGGGTCCAAAAACTCGTTTGCAGCTTTCAGCTCCAAAATGTTGCTCCATTTTGGGTTAAATGCCGCTAAATGCTCCCTTTTCTCTTATTATAACCATTTCATTTCATGTCTTTGGTTTTGAGAACAGCTTCTACTTTTCCTTGGTTTGTTTTTTATTTCCTTTTATGACAGTTTTTGACCAGTTTGATTGTCGATTTGGAGTGTAAAGGAGTCAGTTGTGGTTGGGATGCACTCCTGGGCTCCTCAGCCATATTTGATTCCTGCAGGCACCTCGTTCTCAAAGTGGCTCTTATCATCTTTCTGTGGCCTTTTTGTGTGTTTCTTTTTTGTTTCTTGTGCATTTTGCTTATCTTTGTGATTTTTTTATGTTGCTTTATTGAACATGACACTCTTTGTGTTCATTCGGTGACTCTTCATGGTTGATTTATGTCTCTCTGTGGTGTCTTTTTGTAGATTTGTTGTCTCTTTTTCTGGTAGTTTTGTGTCTTATGAACTTCATTTTTGTTATTCTGTGTTTCTTTGTGGGTCATTTTGTGTGATTTTCTGTGCCTTATGGCCTCTTTGTGGTCACTTTCTGTGTCTTTGTGATGCTTTAATGTCCTTTTTTGCATTAATGGTGTATTTTTCTGGTATTGTTTTATGCAATGGTTTCTTTTAAGTTGTTTAGTTTTTTTTTGCTGTATTTCTTTTTTTTTTGTGAATTTTGCCAATGTTTGTGATCATCAAGAAGGATGAGGATGGTGAGGAGTCTAGAATCAGCTGCCATGAGGAGATTGTTGGTGATTTTGTTGAGTGCTGTTTCAGTGCTATGGAATGGGCGAAAACCGGACTGGAACTGTTCATACAGGTTATTGTGGGATAGGTGAGAGTGGAGTTGGGAGGCAACTGTTTTTTCAAGGATTTTGGAGATGAAGGGTAGATCAGGAGGCAGGCTTTAATAAATTGTATGGTACGGGGTCCACTTGACAAGTGGATGACTTGGATTTCCGGATTAGTTCACTGATTTCTGAGAGTGGGGAGCTGGAAGGAGGAGACTGGGTGTGTGGATGGGTGAGAGTTGGCTGAGACACTGAGGTGAGGGATTGATCCAAGGTGCTGGTGGATGTTTTAGATTTTTTCAATGAAGAAGGACATGATGAAGTTGCAGAAGGGGGTTGTGTACAAATGAGGGGTAGAGAGTCCCGGGATTAGGTGATATTGTTTGAGGAGTTTTGTGTTCTGACTCTTTCAGGATGTTTTGTATGATTTTGTATTCTTATGTTTTGGTTTAGTTCTTCGTTTTTGGATTAAAAAACATTTCCTGGATTAAAACAAGTCTCTTTTTGTGACTCTGTGCAGGTGGAGCTTCGCTACAGGCCAACCGGTGTGGACTACCATCAGAACTCCTTTGTTTGCTTGTGGACTAACTGTGGCTCAAACCTGGTGAAATACAGCCGCACGGTGGCTCATGACTCCTATAATCTCACCTGGCACAGCTACGAGGTGCTTGCAGTCCTGCAGCTCAGCTCGGACTTTCTCTTCGAGATGAGGTGAGACAGCCTGAGATCTGTGGGTGAATTCTGCCACCATCAAACACAGATCACTAAACATATCTTCATTTTTCTCCAAACAGATTACCTGATTACTACAATTATCACTATGGCGCGGGTTACTGGGTGCCCAGACCCGAAGGCACTTCAAAATGGGTAATGAGAACATCTTTGGACCTGGGAACCCGATCTGACACTGGAGAATCAAACCGCCCACCCATCACTTCCACTGTGCCAATAATCAGGTTATTTATTTTATTAAACTTTGGCTCTTTCATCCCCCCATGTGCAGAGACAAAACTGCGCACAGGAATCTGATGTCACTGCACTTTGTAAAGCTGTTAAAAAGGGATAATAAGCAGATTAGAGGAGCAACGGACCAGCTGCAGGCCTCTGAGCATTGATGACCAAGTCCATCATAGAGTTAATTACTGTGATCCAAGCAGGACAAAATGAACCTGTGGGTCGTTTTTTCAAAGAGGAAAGAGAAGTTTAACTTTTAACCGCGTGAAATGAGAAACATGACTTAAATTCAGTTCCAAACTAGAACCAGTTGGTTTAAAATGTGCTGTTGGGGGGCTCAAATCAAAGAGACGGGGTACTTGATCCAAACACAGTTTTTTGTTCTCCTTTTATCAAAATGAAAAAAAGTTTAGGTCCAAACCAGCTTTAGTATCCTCCAAAAATCCTTGAGGGGGTCCAACCGCTTTAAGGGGGAGGAAATCCAACAACTATCAGCGTACCAGTTGAGTGCAAATCTTAGGGAATCCAGTCAACAAATGCAAGGAAAAAAGCAGGGGCCCCAGGAAAGAGCCCTGTGGGACCCCAAATGACCGAGAATGAACGCTATTGAGCTATCACTGTTAACAGAGAAGGATCTTTTACCCCAAAAATGTCCAAATCAATGATGACCGATGCCTCCTTAAAAGCTTGACCTGACAGAGATCTTCTTACAGGTTGAGCTGAAGCAAAGCAAATGAATAAAATAAAATAAAATAAAATAAAAATAAAATGAATTACAGGGTAAAGATCGAGCAGCTGTGACTGATTAGCCACAGGTGAGAGGGAGTAAGCAAGAAGAAGGACTGGCAAACGGAATAAAGAAGGCAAACAAAAGGAAAAAGAAATAAATAAAAAATAGGAGGATCAGAAACACAATTTAAAAAAGGTGAACACAAGCAGAACAGATCCTTCTCTAAACAACTCACAAAAGTCTATGAAGGGCTTCAAATTATTGATATTGAATTTAATTTGTTTTTTAAAAGAAAAAATAATTGACCAAAACAAATTGACTAGAAAAAATTTTAATTTGGGGGGTTTGGGTGTTTTGTCATAAGAAAATCAGTGTTGCTTCCCTAAAGAGGGATGGTTTCTGACTTGATGTTACAGAGTGACGAGGAACTGCCCTCGAACCTTCAGGATCCCGACCTTTGACCCCGATGGCGACCATGTGGAGTGCAGTGTGGAAACATGGCCGTTCACCCATTGGAGAACATGTTCGCTGTGTGGTCTCGACCCTGCTTTCACCCTTAACGGGGTAAGAAAACTGTCTGCACATTCAGGTGTCCCAGACCATGGAGGATTCCAGCTGTCCGCCAAGTGCAGCCATGTCAGTCACCAAATGAGACCAGAATCACAACAAGCAGATCCACGACAACACAACAAAACCTGTTCGATCCTGAGGAGCAGTGGTTCCTAAAGTGGGGTTGCGAGTTATAGAGGGGCCGCGAGTTGATTTCCATAAATAAACTAAAAATGTAAAAATGATTAGAAATAGCTTATGTTAGCCATGGTTGTAGCAAAAGATAAAACTAGTGGCTTCTTTTTAAATAAAACCAAGCAAATAAACTTTATTTCGTGGGTGACGTCCGACCTGGAGGACAATTGGTTTGAACTGTCAAGTGACCGAACCCTGAAGACAGCGTTTAGTTCGAAGACGCTGGCTGAGTTTTGGGTTTCAGGGGGAACAGCGACAGCTATCCAGGGCGGTTTGGATGTACTGATGCCGTTAGGCTCTGCCTACTTGTGCCAAAAGACTTTCTCGGCACTGATGTAGCTTAAAAATAAATCCAGATGGTGACTGAATGTGGAGGCTGATCTAGCGTCTCCGACATTAAACCCAGACTGGACTTTCTGTGCTCCAAGAATGTTGCACATCCATCTCATTATCTGAGGTCAAGTTCAAATTAAAGTTCTGAATAAATTACTGTAAAATACAATAAAACCTCTACATAGGAATCTAACTCGTTCCAGGACCTACTTCGTATGTTAAAGCAGTCGTATGTTGGTTAAAATATTCCCATTAGAATACACTGTAATTTCTATAATTCATTCCAAAAAGCTACGATAAATCCTTAAAAAATACTGCAGATAATTACACTTAGCAATAAAACAAATGCATTATATGAAATATATGTAAAACGAAATCAATTATAAAGAAATTATTTTAAAAAAGGGGTTCATATTAGCCCTTTACCTTAGAAACTGAAAGGAGGTAGAGGTGGAGACTGAGATACAGGATACTCTGGCTTTAAACTAACTTTATACTTTATATTTTTCTTTTTATGACTTTGACGTCATATGTTGGAAATTTACTTTGAGTGTCGATTCGAATATTTGATTGAATTTCACTTCAGATGTTGGTAAATTCGTATGTTTAGGGGATCGGAATTAGAGGTTCTGCTGTTTTATAAATGTTGTGTTATTTTGTGTCAACATGCTTGTTTGTGGATGCGCCTATAGTGTTATATTTTTATACGATTATTGGGGGGTTGCAGTGCTGAAGGTTTTGGGAACCCCTGCTGTAAAACACCATTCAGACTATAGGGATAACTCTCTTTCTCTTTAAAACTTTATTCAAACTCAGCAGTTTTCAATGGTATGAAGTTAGTAGGTGGGACATGACTGCATTTCATGGAGTGAACCTCTGATTATTCTACATGATTTTTGTCAGACTTCCTGCACGCTGACTTACAGAAAGAGCAACATCCCAGGAAACCATCCCGTCGAGATTCTGATGGAAGACTATCCCAGGCAGGAGATCCATGTGACCTACTCTGATGGGTCCTACACAACAAAGAGACCTCTGAGGGGGAATCGCCACAAACGCTATGCTCCACTGGGATACAGCGCAGCCTATCCAACCACTACAGCTACTCCAACCACCACAGCCTATCCGACCACCACCCCAGTTGCCCCAACCACCACCACAGCTGCCCCAACCACCACTACAGCTGCCCCAACCACCACCACAGCTGCCCCAACCACCACTACAGTCTATCCAACCACCAGAACCTATCCAACCACTACAGCCTATCCAACCACCACTACAGCTGCCCCAACAACCACTACAACTGCCCCAACTTCCACCACAACTGCCCCAACCACCACCACAGCCTCTCCAACCACCACCACAGCTGCCCCAACAACCACTACAACTGCCCCAACTTCCACCACAACTGCCCCAACCACCACCACAGCCTATCCAACCACCACCACAGCTGCCCCAACC